CTAGGTTTGATATTTACATATATAGTTCTTGTACATTATAATGAAGAAAATATTTTTGAAATTTTAAAAACTGTTTCTCGTAATTTAAGTGTTTAAATCGTTCATATTAGCGAATTTTATGTGCCAAAAATGTAGATTAACACTGACTTAACTATCTAGAGTAGGTTTGAAGATCGTTCTGATAAAATTCTACCTGAAAATTGAGAAACATTAAAAATTTGTGTTGATATGACCTTCAACAAGTGTCGATGTATGTCTGCCTGAGATTGTAGTATAAAAAAATTATTATATATTTTAATTTAATTATTTATTGGTATGTTGTTTATTGAATACATGTAAGGTTCAGCGTGCTTTGACGTGTCTATATAGTTTGTTTGTACATTTTAATGTAGGAAGTATTTTTGAAATTTTAAAAACTGTTTCGTGAAATTTAAATCGAATATTTTAACGATTTTTTTCTTGCAAAAATGTAGCATTACACTCCCTAAAACTATCTCGAATAGTTTTGAAGGTCGCTCGGAAACATTTCCACTTGAAAATTTAGAAACATGTGAAATTTGTGTTCATACGACCATCANAAACTATCTCGAATAGTTTTGAAGGTCGCTCGGAAACATTTCCACTTGAAAATTTAGAAACATGTGAAATTTGTGTTCATACGACCATCACCATTTGTTCGCGTGACTAATTGCGTGAGCATAATATGCAAAAAATATTATTGATTTATTTTTATTTTTGTAATATTCTATCGCAAGTTAATCGCTTGAAAAGTTAGATGAAGTTTGAACGTTCAAAATTGGCTCCTTCTACATTATAATATGTAAAACGTATTTTACAATTTAAAAAACTATTTGGATAAATGTATTACTTAAATTTAATATTTCAAGGATTTTTTCCTTGCAAAAATGTAGCATTACACTCCATTAAACTTTTTAGAATGGTTTTGAAGGTCGCTCGGAAAGATTTCCACTTGAAAATTTAAAAACATGTGAAATTTATGTTCATACGACCATCACCATGTGTCCGTGACTAATTACGTAAAGCTGATGCGCCAAAAAAATATTATCAATTTCTTCTTATTTTTGTATTAGTCCATCGCAAATCGAACGCTTGAAAGTATAAACGCAGTTTGAACGTTCAAAATTGATTCCTTCTACATAAGGTTAAACGCAGTTTGAACGTAAAATATACTAATTTATTAAAATATTTGGAAGAATGGTTGATTATAAGTTTTGAATTTAAACACCCCTGCAGGTGGCCCGACGAGTGACGGCAAAAATCTCGGCTTCCAATTGCATGTTCGCCATGTTGATCTTGGTCCGGTCACCTTTACCAGAGTCGCGTTTTGTGGCGTTCCGGTTTACGCCCGCGGGTTACAATGACATTGGCGGATCGGTGATGCTATATACGCTAATGCACGTTACGTTTAAGCATATGACGCGGTCGTGCCTTTACGTCATCCAGTCGGTCACCACGCCACGTTCCACGTACTCACCCACTTCGCAGGGTTTGTCTATTTATTAGGTCCGTTCTGTTCATAATGTATAGCGTCAGCTGTGAAACTGGCTGCAGCAATCGAAGGGATATCGCTATCACTGTTGCTGCAGTCATCACCAGTAGTATGTATACAATATAATTGTTACGCGAGATAATATTGTAGATAATGTTGAAAATTACGATGATAATTTTCATCAATATAATAATATTATATTCGTTTGCGGTATGTTAGTTGATCTGTTGTTGCAAAAAGTCTGTTGTGTAGTACAGGGACCATCAATAATTTTTAAATGGAACTTAAGAATACCCATTCGGCTAGCCCTTGTAACTTTGCAAAGTGTTGTGTCGCAATGGGTGATCGCATGTTTATTGATGGTTTGTCGTTAAAAACGATCATGTGTAATAATAATAATAGGCTCTCTTTACTTTTCAGTTGTTGATTGATTCGAAATCGATGACGTGAGAAATCTTATACAACTGAACTATATTATATTAAGACCCGCTTACAACGGACCGTGTTTTTGCATTCTTGAGTTTCGTGTTACATAATATTATAGTATGAACTTAATTGCGCATAGGCATAAGACGGAGTGCTGAATGCCTGAATAAACGTATCACGTATTACGTAGGTACGAGTATATAGAGACGATAGTGTGCTTTAAAAACAATACCTATTCATAATATATTAATTCATGACAGTTATTCAATTTGTGATATAAAAACGAGACGTACCTAGTTGTAAACGGCATATGCGTAACTGCAGCAAACTTACTATATTTTGTGACCGGTCGGCGATCGTATCTTTTACTAGCTGTAATAGCACCTATACCTACCTACGATATGCTGCAATCAGTGGCGGTGTGATATTTTTTTTTACATTAATTTATAGAATAAAATATAATACTAGATTTACTCTTTTTCTTTTTAAGAACGCATTGGACGGCGGACGAAAACGCGCGCACGTCCTTCCCACTCCCGACAGTTCCAACCGCCATTGGTGGTAGATAATAATTAAATTCTCTGTATGCACGGCGGCGTCGATAGTCAGGTCGGCCGATGGCGAATAATCAGTACACAATAATTTGTGTACTGATTGTACCCAAATTTGTGGGAGGTATGTGTGGTTTCGTCTCTGATAAATGAT